TGTAATGCATTACTTTTGTAACGCGTTACTCCCAACACTGGTGGTAAATATGAATGCATAGCAACACTCATTCGATAATTTAGCACAATGATACGCCATCAGTTAGAAAAAATACTTTAATACACATTTATCAATGTAATGATTGGCAAAACTATTTAATAAATTTATTAACATAAATCAGAATTTTACCAAACTAAGAATACAAAACTGGGTGAAAACAATAACTAGTTGCGTCTAGTTTAGCTGCTGGTTTCAGAAAGCACCCATTGAACCAAACAAATCCTCTCAGTTAATGCCAGCCGTGAGGAAGTCTCTTCTCCTGGTCACTTCTTCCTCTCCGTATTTGGATTGAAGCTGCTCAAGTTCATACGGATCAGCCAGCAGGAGGATCTCATCGTCCAGATGGGTCCAGACAGGCCCGTGAATCTCATGGTCGTAGCCGTCTTGCAGATACGCCTGGGCTCTTGCTAAGTCACCACTGGCTTTCCACAGTGCCTTGGTCACCTCAACCAGATCTTTCTTGGTCTTTGTCATCAAGTTCTCGACATGTTCTACCAAGTGTTTGGAGGGAGTTTCCTCTGGAGTTCCTCTCGTTTGGCTGTCGTGTTTGTCCTGTGACTCGGAGTCGAGGATGAAGACGTGGGATGAAGATGCAGGGACAGCTGTGGATCTATGACCTGGACGCTCTTCCTCGGGTGACGGTGAGGGACAAACAGCTTCTGGTGCTTCCTGTAGGCCGTTTTGGTTAAGCTCAGATTGAGTTTCTGGTTCCCTAGTTAATGTTGCAGGCGATGCTGAACTTTCTTGTGCATCTGACGGCTTGGCGATTGGTGCTTCAAATGAATCTTCGCCTTCTTCACTTTCATCCATCTGTGGAAACACATTCAAGTCAGTGAAGTGCGTTTTGGAGACTTTTTAACTAAGGCAGTGGTTTTCTAAGCTGAAATGCTGGAAAACTATCCATTTACAAATGTATTTTGGAGGATTAAGTTATAAAACGAATAAAGAGTTAAGTTAAAAACAAATGGGTCAGTGAAATTTAAGAAAGTCCATAAAATGGAACACTAACATCAAGCTAAAAACATGTAAAGATCTTAAAAATGTATTTAAGTTTGTTTCATGATTCTGAAAAACTTTCATACTATTTTCAAGAAACGTTTTAGTCCGCTAACATCGTGTTCCTGTGGCTCAGTGGTAGAGCATTGCGTTAGCAGCACAAAAGGTCATGGGTTCAATTCCCAGGGAACACACATACTGGTAAAAAAAAATGTATAGCCTGAATGAACTGTAAGTCACTTTGGATAAAAGCGTCTGTTAAATGCATAAATTATTAATAATTATTATTAATTATAAATTTCATCTTAATAATTGCTTTCAAAAAGATTTTTAAAATAATACTTTTTTCATGAACCACAATATTTAAATGTTACATATATAGCATTTTAAAAAGTATATATAAATATAAACACACACAAATTAAATTCCTAAATTACTGTAAAATTTGGACTGCATCGATTTTTACGCATCGATTTTTACAAAGCTCATCGGTCTGAAAAGCGAGGTGTGCTGTGATTGGAAGGCCAAACAAAGTAGTTTCTCTTTCACAACGAAACACACAGTGCCCTCACGACATGGCGGCCGCGGCAGCAACAATACTACAGCGAGAATAAAAGTTACACCTTCTTTCTTTGCGTGAACATTTGGCTGGCGTTATGCAAATCTTCCCACATAGTGATGTAGATATGTGGGGGCGTGTTAGAACGAGCCGTTTTAGTAACTTTTATAAAGAATATCTCTTTGGATTTCAGACTTTAGTCGTTGCAACTTTACAGATCTTCTTTATGCACCAAGAGCTTGTAACACTCCAAAGAGAAAGGAAAAATTTAAATTGCATCATATGACCCCTTTAAATAAATAGGTCCACACAATAAATGAGCGTAATGTCATTGACCCAACAGTTATATCTAGTCAGGGTTGATGTTGTTCAGTCTTACCACATCAGAGTCCTCAAATTCTCTTGCAGCTTTTGCAAGAATCCCAAGTTTCCTAGAGTCAGGCGTGGAGGCCTTGCAGGTACTTTGACTTGTTTTGTTGGGAGATGAATGTTCCTTTGATCCTGAATTTGAAAAAAAGTGGAGAAGGTTTACAAACAGAACTTGTTGAGGAACAACACAATATATAAAACCATGAATAACATTACCATCCGGAATGTGTTGTCCATCAAAACCTTCATCTAATGTAGGTCTTTTAGACATCTCAGGCTCTGGTGTTTCTTCTTCTTGGACCGGGACAGGAGATTCGTCCTGACTGTCATGGCTTGAGGCCTGCGGCGGCTCTCCTGCAGCATCTGCCACATCTGGAGGAGAACTGGCTCCCTCAGG